ATGTAAATATATTTATTTATTCTTTTATTCATGTATTTATTTATTTATACTTATGTTTTGTCCTTGTAGAAATAAATAAATAAATATATGTAGAAATACATAAATAAATGTAGACGTAAATAAATAAATAAATAAATGAATACATAAATAAATGTGGAAATAAATACATGTAGAAAAGCACAAATACAGAAATAAATAAATGAATAAATGTGGAAATAAATAAATAAATAAATGTATAAATAAATAATACATGTAAATATATTTATTTATATTTTAATTCACGTATTTAATTATTTCCACATTTACTTGTTTCTTTATATATTTATGTATGCGTTTATACGTTTATTTATTTATTTATGCTTATGCCATTTTCTGTCCTCCACAGTTGTACACAGCAGAAATATGTAGAAAATACTGATTTCACTTGAGTTAGGTGGGAGAAAGCTCAGCCTGTGGAAACGCTACATCAGCACTGAACTGGATAACAGGTTCGTCGAGTTTCCGCCCTGGTGAGGACATAACCACATATACTCCATATGTATGTTGTGAGCAATATATGTTTATCATAATGCAAAATCGACCTTTTTCACGAATTAATACATGAACAATTCTTATACCGGATATTTTCTCATTTAAATCACGCCGAAATAGCTCAGTTGGGAGAGCGTTAGACTGAAGATCTAAAGGTCCCTGGTTCGATCCCGGGTTTCGGCATTTTGACACAATACACTGCACAGTCCGCCACTGTGATCGACCACCAACAGCATTTACCATGTAACAGGGCAAAGTCTGACACCTTGTGGCTACCTGGAGGAACTACATCGACCATAGTTGTAAAGCCTATTTCATATAATGCACACAAAGAATACCACCATGATCCCACACTCTCCTCACTCCTGTTTAAATTTATGAATTACACCAAAATAAGTTTTTCACATCTCATTTTTACTTTGAAGTTACATTCAGGCATCTCACTCATAAGAGCTGGGATAATATCGTGCAGTCACAGATTAAGGGTACAGTTACACATGAACAAATGCAGGCCAGTGACATTTGCCAACCAAGGCTGTATTCTAGCTCAATGTGGGCGCTGCCTGATCTGACGAACACCGAAGGCTAGCTTGCTGTTAAATATTGTAAAATATGATGTTACTGGTTGCCTGCCACGCCTGTCTCCCAACGTATGCCAGCCAGGTAGCACCTCTTACATGGGGCAGTTCGTACTTTTCATGTCACATATCAGGCAGTCTTGGCAACAGTCAGTGTCTTCCATACATACTTCTTTGCTGTTGGTTGAGGCTCCAACTTTGCCGGCCAAAGTTCACCAAAGTTCCACGCGATGTGAAGATGTGAATTTGCGATGCCACCAGAAGCAAATGTTTTATCCTCGAACTGAATGGAAGATTAGAGATTAGATTAGACAGAACTTTATTAATCCCTTGAGAAGACTCCCTCAGGGAAATTAAGATTCCTGCAGCATTGGATAGCAGCACACAGGGTAAGTGAGCAGGAGGTGAATATTCGCCAGTGTTAGTTTGGCTCATGTGTGACCATACCCTAATAGCTGTACTCTTGAGCCCAGTGGCTGTAGGTGCACTTCCATTTCGTGCTGAATGTTGAGAAAGAAACATACCGTCTCACATGTAACATTCGATAATACACTGCCATATTTCATCCTCAGCTGAACATTTTGCTGAGTCTAAGTCCCAACTGTGCATTTCTCTCCTTCTCTCTACTTGCTACATCTTTAAGGGCCTTCAAAGCAGCAGGTGATTCTGGCTGTATCTCCAACAGTTTCCTAAACGCCTGCCTGGCCTCCTCCAGCTCATTCAACATCTGACATGCTTGGCCCAGTCGGTACCAGGCTTTAGCCCCGCCTGGTTCCAGCTGAGTAGCTTTAGTTGCACTGGCCTTAGCTCGCTCTGGCTGGCTCAGTTTGAGCTGGCACAAGGACATATTTGAGTGGAGCTCTGCTTTGATGGTTCTGAATTCATTAGTTGAAGGAAGGTGACCAGTGTCTGTGTCTGTCTGCTCCTCCACTTCTGGTGTCGCCTCTCTAACGTGGTAATGGAGAGTGATGAGAAGCTTGAGGGCGCGGCTGTAGCTGTCTGCTGCTCCCCACACATCCCCGCCTCTGAATCTCACTCCACCCCTCTCTTTGTGTGACTTCACCCACTGCCACTTGTCACGAGGACACACCTCCCAGGATTCCTTGCCTGGTGTGAAAGCTTTGAGTTCAACTGTGGCACATAAAGGCAGGTTTTCCTCAGCAGGATGGGGAACAGACACATCTGGTCCCGTTGGAGAAATCAGTATCTGAGAAGCAAAACACAATGATTAGACTGACTGGATCCTTTCACCTGTTTGGAAAAATAATGACCAAAGGAAGATATGTGCAACTACTGAGCCTGCAATCCATATTCAAGCGAGAAACCCTCTTTCACCACTGACTGTAAGCTGTCAATATATATGTCAGGATATTGCAAATATACAGTCTTCACATATGTAAAACTAAAACCCAATAATGATCAAAATGGTGGATTTAGTCAGTTTTTACAGACAATTTGCAGAGAATTTCACCAAAAGTTGACACACAGACACTCAATACATAATTTTTCAAGTCCTCTGTTCACTCTTACCTCACATTTTTCTCCCACTGTCATCCTCTCCACGCACCTTTCTGTGATATCGCACTGCCCATCACCTAACCTCAGTGTTATCCAGTCACCCAGTGGGACCTGCAGCACAGAGTCCAGACACCTTGGGAAGGCTGTAGCCTCTGCAACCTCAGTGGCTGACTGTTCCAGTTGGACTGACAGCTGCTCATTTCCCTTTTCAGATACTGAACTGTCTGCTTCATCCACGTTGGCTTTGAGCCGCACTCGGACTTGACACAGTGAACCCAACCTTGGACAGTAACTGGATGAACATGCTGGAGGAGACAAAAAGACATAATATGAGCTACATTACTACACACTGACTACATTTTTATTTCAAAAATATGTACTAAAATTGAATAATTCATATTGAGGAAGAAAGTAATAGAAAAGCATCATACATGCATCATCTCCAGAGTTAGTCTGCTGACTCCCTTCGTGTGTTTGCTTCTGCTGGACTTTCCAGAGGCCTCTGGGACACACTGAAACCCAGGAGGTGACATCAGCGCCGTCATGATCGCCGTTGCCATGCAGTGTTTCAAAATGGTAATCAGTATCCATCCCTGGGTTCATGAAATGTCAAGACAAAAATAAAAGATGATCATTACTTCTGTTCAGACACCAGTTTGAATGCACCAATGCTCCCATCCAAGGAGTGTTTCCTGAGGGACCATGCACCATGCCGAGTAGGCTTGTAACTGTGTATTTTATGATGATTTATTAAACAAACAACTAAGATAACTAAAGCAAAATGGGATGAAATGAAGTATTACGTCACCAAAAAATATTAGAGCCAAAAACTCACCCTCTTTGTCTAAAAGCTGCCACAGTGAATGAACAGGTAAAATAACATGACACCACAGCCTGGTACCAGTAACAGCTACCAGAAGTAAAACTGACCAATAGAAGGTGTGCAGCCTAAACAAACAATAAATAACAGAGGGTAAATACATATCCTAGGTCCTACACAGACTCTGTGGATTAAGATAAGCTTTGAAAAGACACTTGAAGAAGTTATAAAATTTGGTATGCTTTCTTCTCTTATCTGGAAAGAAAGCAAACATTTTTTGGTGTTACACTACGTGGTGAAAAGTGTTACAATAACAGTACCTACACGTTTAATATTAGCATGCTACACAGCCACAACAACAGCAGTATGTAATCACAAAGAAGTGTGTGTTTCTCAGTGTTGTAGTTTTAAGAAGTCAGTTATGAAAGCTAGACGTTTGATTTGAAGAATATCGAGAGATCTACAACCAGTATTCAACGTCAACTGCGGATGTAGCTTGTCTATTAGCACTCAGCTAATTTACAACCTCGTAGTTAGCTTCTGTTACATTACCAAGCTAACGCTAATTAATATTTCATACAAAATATTCAATAACAACAGAGACAGTGCAGTAAATAATGGGTTGTCGGCTCTGTAGTTAAAGCGTGACAGTTACTACAACAGACACGTATAACATCATTTTACTAAGTATATTAACTCACCTAAGTTAGCCTGGTAAGACAGTGGTTAACAATGAAGAGACACCTTTAACAGTAGATAGCATCAGATAACGTTAGCTAGCGTTATGGCGGCAATCCAATGCTACCAAATTTCGTTACGCTACAAAGTCTGAACTGTAACGTTAAAGTTGTAACGTGCTATACGTGATTAAAACATGTATCTCACCAAGTGCACAAGTATGACATGAAGTACTGGCTGCTCAGTCTGTCGGACATAAACTGTAAACAAACGCGGGGTACTTTTCTTCTTCTACGCCCTCCTCTAATGTTGCTTCTTCTTCGTGTGTGGTGACAGGTGCGAAGCATGGATGTATGCAGCATTACCGCCACCTACTGGGGGAGACCGGGGTTGGCTGGCACACATTTCACTTCTGCATTTCTCTGGCAAAAAATATGTTAGAATATTCTAACCAGCGGCAAATGAAAGGTTAAGGTCTCAGCTATGAATAAATGTTATATAGTTTCAAAAAAGTGACCTATAAAAAACAATGTCAGCATTTAATCCAAACAACAACAAGAAAATGATAATTTCATTGAATATCTGCCCATTTAAAAAACAGTTTATCTGTGGGAATGTCAAAATACTTTCGCCAATGACCATTCAAGATATTATCAATAATAAAATAACAACACAAACATTGTTTAAACCCTTTAAAATGGTTCCAATCACTCAAAAATACAATTACAGTTACAGATGATAATTTTTACAGTTGTGCCATCCAACCCTGCTCACATTTGACCCAACTTTATGATGAAATTATTTTAGCCAGCTACTATCACTCATCACAGACCCTTAAATCTTATATCAGTATATAGCTGATTCGTTTGTCTATTAAGCCAAAGTAATACTTTTCCAGTATCTCTGTCTTACACAGTTTTATAAAACATTTAGACCGCAGACCTTTAATACTAAGAAACTGAAATGTTGCTCTCACCAAAAAGTTAGTGACTCTCAGATGTTTTAGCATACTAGATGAGGTGCAGGTGAAGAATAAAAAATTCTGATGTTGCATTATTGTGTCTGTGACCTTCAAAAGACCAGAAAACAGCTGCTGACCAGGCCCAGTCCCCCCTACCGGACTGTAATCTTGATGTATTTTCCTGTCAACATTCTATGCACATCTTTATCATAAATAGTTTTACCTGTGTCATCTAATTTCTCTAATCAAAAACAGTGCAAAAGACACACACATCCCAGCATCCAGTGGAGTGGGTGCTGGACCAAAGAAACGTCTGGCAAAGTAGCAAAAAAACAAGTCTGAGGAAGAGCCGTAGGCTGGAAACGTCACTCTGCATTAAAATCCTTCTAAATGGTGGGCGGACTTATTTGTTCTCTACTTCATCTAATTTCTCTCTCATAAATATAACCTCCTACAATCTTTAATCTCAACCATTTTATGTGTCGTCTGTCTGTAAGCATCAAAGATGACTGTGAAGTTGCAGCAAAAGAGGAAAACGTTGCGTAGGTACAGTTGAAACAGCCTGAAACACAGACTGTGTTATTGGGTCTTAACTCTCATCACTGAGGCAGATTTCTGAGCACACACACATCTTGAAGATTTCTGCCTTAAGTAATAAAAAGGTCTATGCTGTCTACAGTACATCTTTACAGAAAAATGTTTAAAAGAGATGCTTGATTGTTTTATTACTGATACATATTGAAATATGCTATAATTCAAATTACTGAAGCAATTATATGGAGTGTAACACAAACTATGCAGTGTGTGATGTGTTAGATTACAACACAGGATTTAGAAAATGATTTTGTACCTATGGTTTGCACTCTCAAATACACACACACACACACACACACACACACACACACACACAGTTTACATCCCTCTCTGTGTATTGACCTTTGACTTGTTCCACTCATGTTTAAGGCCTGTGTGTTAATCTGTCCTGTCAGTATGAGTTGGGCTCTATCTTCTGGACACTAGAGACTATTAGGTCTATCAGAGGAGGACCAACATGTGGTGTGTGTGTGTGTGTGTGTGTGTGTGTGTGTTAGAGAGAAACAGAGACAGAAAGGAAGGTCATCTGAGATGCAATCTGTCCTCTTATACGGGGCCTGTCTGACCCTTGATGAGCACGAGACGAGGTAATAAACTTGCTTCACTAATGAGCTAGTGAGAACCATGCACGTCTCTGCATACAGAGGTGAAATCATGGAAGGCTTCACATGTGTCAAAGAGTTCATAAGAAGGTTCATAAAGTTCCAAGTTTATCCTTACATCATGAAACAATGAATCAAAGGAGTTAACTATTCTTCCTTACATTGAAAAATACCTTGATGAAATTCTCATAAATAGATAACTGATACTCATAAAATTACATATAAGATTTCTGAGGTTGTAATTTATACATGAGTCCCTTCTGTTTGTCTTACTGTAAAAAAAATGTGACCACCACAAACTGTAAGTATTGTTGTCTACCATGTGTCCTGTTGTGCTTTTTTATGTCAGTAGGTGGCAGTATTTAACAATAATCTATAGTTGCTGTTCTGACTCATGATGCAAACTGTTGCTGAAAAGGAATGACATTGACATGACAGATGATGATGTCTTATGGTCACAGCTTGCTAAATGATAATAAAAAAAAAATATGTAGTTGCTTTTTCTTTTGCAGTTGTTACCTAGCAACTGTGTCCCAACATGATCCATTCAATATCTTAGTCGCAAACAAACAAGGAGTTCTGTGACTTTATGATGTCACAACTGTACTTCAAAGACAGTTTGAAACATAAACAGTGTAAATGGGTGCTTTTGGATTTCTTGTTTGAATGTTCTGCAGTGTGTGTGAACGACATCAGCTGACAGGAAGCGAAAACGAATTCAAGCTGTTGCCTAGTGATGTAATTACGTTGAAACGGTCTATAAAGATAGAAAAACTGAGCGTGTCAGACAGAGAGTGATCACAGGTGTACTCAGGCAGACAGTATGAGAACATTAAAGCATGTAAACACATTGTAGTAGAAACCCACCCACAGACTGTATATACACTCACCAGTCACTTTATTAGGTACACCTGTTCAACTGCCCATTAACACAAATAGCTAATCAGCCAAACACATGGCAGCAACACAATGCATTTAGGCATGTAGACATGGTCAAGACAACCTGCTGAAGTTCAAACTGAGCATCAGAATGGGGAAGAAAGGTGATTTAAGTGACTTTGAACATTGTTGCTGGTGTCAGATGGGCTGGTCTGAGTGTTTCAGAAACTGCTGATCTACTGGGATTTTCACTCACAACCATCTCTAGGGTTTACAGAGGATGGTCCCAAAAAGAGAAAATATCCAGTGTTGATGCCAGAGGTCAGAGGAGAATGGCCAGACTGGTTCAAGATGATAGAAAGGCAACAGTAACTCTAATAACCACTGGTCACAACCAAGGTCTGCAGAAGACCATCTCTGAACCAACAACATGTCCAACCTTGAAGCAGATGGGCTACAGCAGCAAAAGACCACACCAGGTGCCACTCCTGTCAGCTAACAACAGGAACCTGAGGCTACAGTTCACACAGGCTCACCAAAACTGGACAACAGAAGACTGGAAAAATGTTGCCTGGTCTGATGAGTCTGGATTTCTGCTGCCACATTCACATGGTAGGGTCAGAATTCGGTGTAAACAACATGAAAGCATGGATCCATCCTGCCTTGTATCAACGGTTCAGGCTGCTGGTGGTGGTGTAATGGTGTGGGGGATATTTTCTTGGCACACTTTGGGCCCCTTAGTACCAACTGAGCATGGTTTAAGCACCACAGCCTACCTGAGTATTGTTGCTGACCGTGTCCATCCCTTTATGACCACAGTGTACCCATCTTCTGATGGCTGCTTCCAGCAGGATAACGCACCATGTCACAAAGCTCAAATCATCTCAAACTGGTTTCTTGAACATGACAATGAGTTCACTGTACTCCAATGGCCTCCACAGTCAGCAGATCTCAATCCAATAGAGCACCTTTGGGATGTGGTGGAACAGGAGATTCTCATCATGGATGTGCAGCCGACAAATCTACAGCAACTGTGTGATGTCATCATGTCAATATGGACCAAAATCTCAGAAGAATGTTTCCAGCACCTTGTTGAATCTATGCCACCAAGAATTAAGGCAGGTCTGAAGGCAAAAGGAGTCCAACCTGATATTAGGAAGATGTACCTAATAAAGTGGCCAGTGAGTGTATTTTTGTATAGAAGCTTGCTGTCAGCCACTTGTTTCATTATTTACTGTAAGAACATAATGTTTCAGTAGGGGTCTCTCTCCTCACAGCAATAAACACACACACATGACAAAACTTGGACAGGTACAGTCGTACATAGACTGTGCAGTGTAGTCAGTATCACTGGCTGGGTGACGTAACCCAAGTTCAGATATTTTGCAATATTAAGTTTTTGAAATGTTCATAAACTCCAGCAGACTTGCAGCATGTGTATCATAATGCTTGTAGCAGTTACTCCCAAATGTACAGTGCACACGCAGCTGCAGCCAAATACGGAGAGAAAAAGAAAAGGAAAAAAAAATGTTTTATGTGGAGTGAATAAGTGAGGATATAAGGCTGCTCCTCAACTGTGTTTTATTGCCCTGGATAAACTGACTTACAGAGATAATGCTGCTGCTGCTGAAACCAATTTAAACACCTGATATTTTAACATGTGGACATTTGTAAATACATGTGAGGAATAGACATGAAGTAAATCAACTAAAAAAATACATGACTTTTGACTTTTCAGTTTGTTTGTTGATGGCAATGGAGGTCAATGGTATGCAAATCAATATAAAAGTTTTGCAATATATATTATTTTTGAGAAACTATGTTAAATTCTTTAAAAAAAAGATTTGTTTAAACAAGCATAAACATTTGTAGACACTTTAATACAATGCAACTGACTCCACTAATGCCACAAACTACTGATAATAAAAAATAATATNGAGTTTACAATCAACCCACTTCTCTCACAGCGACACTATAAAAAATTGTAATAAAATTGTTATTAAAATACAGGAAATTGGGAAACATTTGCTGTTTTTTAGTCATATTATTATTATTAATACAAAAGACGTTTACAGATACATTATTTAAGTAAAAGTAGCCTCTAATACTATACTTTGAAAATACTACAATACAAGTAAAAGTCCGGATTTAAAACCACACTTGTGAAAGTATTATCAGCAAAATTTACTTTATTAAAAGTAAAAGTGCTCATTGTGCAGTAAAATGTTCCCTGTCAGTGTTTTACTGTTA